GTATCTGTGCCAGTTGTCCCATAAGATTTTGATTTATTTTTGCCTCACTTTTATTGGACTTCTCTGCATATAACTTATTTATTTATTTCTCAGTGTGTCCCCTCATGTGTTAACCAAGAATATTATGCTTGTGCTTCTGTTTGTTTGTCACACAAGTGTAAAAACAGACAGACAGGAAACAAAATAACAGCTGATTAGAGTTCGATCCAAGTTGGACAGTTTTCAAAGCTGTGTTGTAACTCATAACAGAATATTTGTATTAAATCACTTACATTTGTATTCGAATGGGTCCTGGTAACTTTCTAATTGTCTTTATTACTATTTGTTTGTTTCTATTTCTCCTTTACAACAGATTCCCAGTCTTCCAGTAAGTGAAGAGGACTACACGCTGGCTCGTTCCCGTACCTCTCCTTCTTCTCGTACCACGAGTGAGCAGTACCATAACCTCATGGATCACTTGAAAAAGCAGTACGAGGTTAAGATGCACCTTTTCCTCATCTTTATGCTACATTTTATCTGAAAAAGCACCTTCTTGACGTCCACCTTGCATACTGATGTTAATGTCATGTGTTAGTTACGGTTATTAGTTACGAAATGTTCATACATTTTGTGATTGCGATTCTTAAACAGACAAATAACAGTTGTTCTTTATTTTGTTGTCCTCGCCTACGGTATGTTCTCTCTCACACACACACAACCAGCCCTCTTTTGTTCTCTCTCCATGAACAGAAATGTCTGGGCCTCTCCCAGCAATTCACAAACACGGGAAACGTGGCCGAGGCTTTTAAGTAAGAAACTTTTTTGTTTTAGTTTTATAACTGTGGGATTTTTTTTTTGCAGTCATGTTGGAGCTTAACATTGAAAAGATCACTGTTTACCTCAAAGGCATCAACACCAACTTCTAGAACAGATCTGGTTCTAATTACATTAAGTATAAATTCACCTTTTCACAAAATTTCAATAAAAATCTGAAATCCAGAGAAAGGGTATTATGACTCAGATTAATGTAGTTTTTCTTCATTTTAATGAATGTATGTAATAAATCTAACTGAGAACTTCTGTGGTTCTTAATTATATTGTCAGCATGCACACAGTGATTTTAGCTATCTTTATATATGATGTACCCCTTTATAATATTTGTAGTCAAATATTTCAACATTTAACCTTTGAGAATTGTACTTTAAACCTTTTTCTCATCTTCAGAGGGTTTGTCCTGCTTCCTCGTTTTTCTGGCATGGTTTGAAAAATCTTGTCGTGTCCTAGAAAATTAGGATTTATTTTTACAGATGATGCACAGAGTGTTTTGTAATCGCAGATTTTCAAATGCAGTGATATATGTTTGTCTCAGGAAATGGAGCTGTTCAGCTGTGCAGTTATTAAACTTGTTGTATTTCAGTACCAGGCATGTGTCTAGATGTATAGACACGAAAATGCATAAAAATGACAAAATCAAACTAAAAGAAAAATGTTTTTTGTCACACAGATCTAAAAATCATGACTCTGTCTCTCACCCAGGTCTGAGAAGTTACTTGAGGAGACCATGAAGTACATAGAGATTCTAAAGAGTGCCTACACAAAGGGTCATCCAGTCCCCAAGTGCCGCACCGAGGAGAGAACCTTCAACTCTATCAAGTCAGTAGCAAACATTCAGAATACAGATTCATTCATAATAAACACCATCGCAAGTCGCTCAGTTTGTCTGTTGGTCCACCACTTTGGTCCAGAAGGATTTCCATAAATCTTTCGTGGTCTCCTCTGGCCAAACTTTACCTGATTTTTCTTCTAGTCATAGTGGTGCCAAGTTCTGCTGCGCTCTGTCAACATTATCCTTATTTTATTTAACTATCAAATTTTCAGCTCAGTTTACATCTTAGTAACATCCTGACTGGAGATCAAGTCACTTCAACAGCGTTATCAAAATTAGAAAAGAAAAAACTAACCAACTCTGTAGTCGGATTAGATTAGTTAGATTATATATTTTGGTTTTTTGTTATTTTTTTTTAAATGGTTGATTTAAGCCATGTTTTTAATTAATTTTTAAGGCAGATGTGTTTGTCATTTGACAAATACATCTGCCTTAAAAACCTAATACAAATCAGCCTGCAGTATAATGGCCAACATGTTGTTAATTAATGTAATTCATCCATCCAGAGGACGCCTATGATAAAGACTACTAATCATCTGTATAACTTTTTGTTACTCATCTTGTGGCATTATGTCAGTGCCTGCAGAAAAAGGAAAATCTGTCAGTCAGTCAATTAAGCCGCGGTTCATCAAACTGTCACTTTTATTGTGTATTTTTTTAAACGTTATAATCAAGATGTTTTGACTCTATGAGGCTTGTCCTTTATATTTAATTTTCTACTCGTACATGAGCTGTTTAATTTTGAAAGCAAATGATTGAACATTAAAGGTAGTGCTTTTCCTGACTGGAGTGATGGATGACTCAGAGTGACTCATTGTGACTCACTCTGCCTCTGCTCCAGTGTCATATGGAGCTAACAGCTAAGCGACTATGGCGGTGACTCATTCATCAGTTAATTGTTTGCCTCTCCATGATGCTGCCTGATGCTGACTGTCACTTTTGAAGCTGTTTCTGAATGGTGTTTTTCATGTTTGTTTGTTTGTTGTTGTTGTTTTGCTCCGCAGAATCAACCCCAACCTGACACTCAATGACCTGATACTGTACGTCACCCGAGGCATCAACCTCCCAGCTCCCTCTGGTATTGAAGTCATCCCCATCTTTGAAATTACCAGGCAGTAATCTGTCAGATCGCTGTGCACTGACACCTAGCTTCTCTCTCCCCACAGGTGTCTCTGCTAATGATCTGGATGCCAGTGTAAAATTTGAGTTTCCTTTTCCCAGCGCGGTGAGAATCTTTCACATTCACTCGCTGCAGATGTTTCAATCCGTGTATGTACATATGTGCGTTAATGAATTTTGTGTGTGTGTGTGTGTGTGTGTGTGTGTGTAGGAGGAGGCTCAGAGGGACAAAACCAACACAGTAAAGAACACCAGCAGTCCAGAGTTTAAAGAGACTTTCAGACTCAACATCAACCGCGGCCACAGGGCCTTTAAACGAGTCATACAATCCAAGGGAATCAAGTTTGAAATCATCCACAAGGGGTAAAACGCAGCAGCTTCAGTAGAAAAAAAGAGAATATGCTTCCATATCGGTGTGTTTTGTTTGTTTTTTTTTCCCCTCGTTGTAGCTTCTGTAAATTGTATTCTCTGCTGTGTTTACAGAGGCCTGTTTAAGAATGACAAAGTAGTGGGAACTGCTCAGCTGAAGCTAGAAGGTCTAGAAAATCACTGTGAAATCAGAGAGATCTTAGAGGTGAGTGTTGATTACGCGTGCGAGCACCCACACATGTTCAGAGGCGGTTTAACTGCGCGCGTTAATGTTTTTTGTAGGTGATGGATGGACGTAAAACTACAGGCGGCAAGCTGGAGGTGAGGGTGAAGATCAGAGAGCCTCTGTCAGGCGTCGAGTTGCATCCAGTGAAGGAGAAGTGGCTGACTCTCGAACCAGTCTCCACGCCGACAGAGAAACAAAAGGAACGGGTGAGTAGGGTTTTTAATTAAACTTACCCGCCTTTGTCTTTGGACTGAAACACGTCCAGCTCAAGCAGGGACGTACACAGGACTTCCATGTGTGATGTAAACTGTGCAAAACACTGAGCCAAAGTGCTGCCTCACAAACTGGATGTTCATATGTGTCAGAGCAGAAGTGTGAAGTCAGTCAGTATAAACAAAGTGTTTGGTGGCCGATCAAATAGTGTCTGAAACCACATCTATATCTATCTATACATCTATTTTAAAACTGGTGATCTACCGATAACATCCCTCTTCACGCAGCGATTTTTTTAAGTCTTAGAGTGTACAAGATTTTAGCATCTTCGCGAGTTCTCTTTATTCTTCACGCAATTACTTTATGAACTCAAGTGCTAGTGGTTCTTTGGCACAGGAGAAACTGGCAAACTCTTGAATCCATACTGCTGCATAATGTTTAGTCAATGAGTGGAAACACTGTGAAAGCCTTTCAGGAAAAATGGAGACTACAGCGATATCTTTATCTGAACCATTGTCGTGTTTCGCTGCTTTCTGAGAAACCGTTTTCACACGTGAATTTCAGACAGTTTCAAAAGAATCACAGTTTTACTTTCTCACATGGAAAAAACAGCAGGACATTGGATTCTTTCAAAATATAGACCGTTCTATGCAGTTCAAGTCATAGAGCTGCCTGGGTAGAATTACAGAAGCCAGGATGCATGATCACATAAATGCAGCAGATATATGGAGTGGAAATGCAAGAAATATATTTGAAAAGCACAAAATAGGAAAACAAATGGCTGTGATGGAAGGAGTTTATTAAACATGGCTCCACAAAAGAAGGAAAACAAATGAGAAGCATGTACTTTCCTCAAATTATTGCTTTTTGTTATTAGTTGTTTTACTTGCATAATTTTTTCAACCAGGTTGTTTGAGGTGCGACTGGCGCTGTTGTAATTACATTAGCTCATTGTGTCATCTTCTGCTGCGATGATTCAATGAGGCCTGACTTGAGTGTTAATACATTCGTGTGCTTTTTGTAAAGTATGTGCTGCATTTAAATAGAAATGACAAACAGCGTTGCTTTAAAACTCACTCAAACTCTCGGCTTTAGGCATCTTGATTTATTTATTTTTTTCCTTTTCTTCTTCGTGTTTGGGTCTCTTACTGACGCTTGCAGTCTTCGGTCACAAGCTGAGGATCTGCTGGTTTTTCTGCATATAATTTGAAGACTAGAAGGGACAGAGCTTATCAGTTGGTGGCATCAGGGCTTTACAACACTACAATTACATTTAGCTGACTCTGTGGACTCTTTGAAGAACAAGTTAAAACACTTTTTTTTTAGTCAGCCAAGCTTCTTTACTGATTTTAATTCATTCTGTATTGTTTTTTTAATTTTTTTTAGGACAATTAATGTTTATTCTATTTTATTTGTGTACACTGCCTTGCAACCACTTATCTGTGAAAAGCAGTTTTAAATAAATTATGCTTATTTATTGATGTTTTGCATCTACACATATCCTTACCCATGGTTTAAACTGCAATCTATTTCACGAACAATTACAAACAAAGTTGAAACAGAATAGTGACAAAGATTTGAATTTAAATACTCTGAGCATGCTGGAAAGCAAATCGTCAGTCCAGTAGCTGTACCAGCTTTTAGTCTTTCCCACTGTCAGTAGCCAGAAGAAGCAAAAAGCATTGCTCACATCGTAGCAGACAGCAGGCTTTTCACTCACATTAAGTGCGGCCAGTACCTTTTAGATGTGTTTGGACTGCAAACTTGTTGTGTGTAAACCAGCCTGCTAGTCAGATTACGGGTAAATAAAGGTAGGCATTACAAAAACTAGCAATGCACAAGTCAAATAACCTGATTTTCATAAACCTGGGTGAAAATGAGTCAGTTGCCCAAGAAATGTAAGAAATGCTCTGGTCTGCTTGTTTAGGCTCCATCTCCTCAGTCCAAACCGAGACATGGAGGAAACGGCAGGAGCAGCTCGGATCAGCCTACATCTCCTCGGTCTAAACCGAAACACGAGGCGAGCAGCAGGAGCGGTCACTCCAGCAGCTCCCCTCCACAGTACAAACTCCACAGCTTCAGCCTCCTCAACTACGACAAGGAGCGGCTGGAGAGGAAGGTAGTACTGCGTGTTCATGCGGCCCGAGTCGACCCACAACGTGCACTTCACTGATGCTTACAATGGCCCGAAGGCGCCAAGGTCTCGTCACTCATTACGCTTGTCTCTCAGATTACAGAGTACAGAAAGAACAAGCAGGAACCCCCGTCTGACCTCATCCCTCAGCACAAAGAGGTCATACACCGACTGCAGTGGCAGAAAGCACAGCTGGAACGAGCCTCTCCTGCCATGCTCACAGGTAACACACACACACATCTCTTACTTTTGAACATGTGCTTTTACCCCTCCCTAAAATCTTAGCCTGACTCAGTTTTGGAACAACTTGACCGAGACAGGAAAGTCTTTTGTCGACAGCATCTATGTAGAGCAGTCCAGGTCCTCAAAGTATTGGCTGATAGCAGCACACAGCTCCATCACAAGTCCATCACAGGGATCACCACTACAGCCTAGAATTGTTTCAGCTAAATGGAACAGTTTTTGTCATTTTTGCTCTGTATACCACAATATTAGATATTAGATTCAGATTCAGTTGCTGGTTTTTTGTGACTCTTTGCATTCACAAACTATTTAATAACTGAAAAGCTCCTTTAGGTTAGACTGTCCCATTTTTTTGCCTTGCGTTTCATTATTCTTTTGCACTGTGAAGTGAAGTCGGATCAGTTTTGCAGCATTTGGCTGAATCTGAGCAGCGCCCTGTGCACTTCAGAATTGATCTTGCAAAACTCCAAATCTAACTTTTAAATTATTACATTGATGAACGTCTGGTTATGGATGCAACAACATCTCTGCAGCTTCTTTTTTGTCAGGCAGGTTTTGTGGCAGCTTTAATTTTTGCAGTAATTCAGTCTGATAGATGCATCAAATTGGCACTCAAGTCATAAATTGAGGATTCCTCTCTGCGGAGAAAGTAAAAGTTGTTTTATTATTAAGGATTATTAAAGGTTTCCTGCTGCTGTCACTGTCTCTGCATCTCAGAGAAACTCTACCTGCATTTGGCAGTGTCCCTCAG